GTTTACAAACCACCAGGACCTTTTATCGTAACTTTAACATTCTTGGCTTGTAAAGATGGTGAATTTTGGAAAAATAAAGATATTGGTAAAACGTATGATTTTTTTAAACCCGGTGTTACAAGATTTGATAATACAGATAATGATATACAAAGTAGAATAAATGATAAATGGGAAGTTATAAACTCTGTAGATAGACCAATCGATATCAATGCAAAGACCAAAGAAGTTCAGAATTTCTGTGTATGTGAACCGTACGAGTACACTTTTAAAATACCAATGTACACGGCTCATGATGGGTCACAAGAACCTAGAAAAGATCCCGGAATGCCGTTTTGCTTACCTGGAAAACCCACATCAGATGGAATCCTTTCTTTTGGTTGCAATAAACAAAAAGGTGGATTCAGTCCGAATATCGCTTGGATAGTAATGGTAACTGTGGATCCTTCAGCCTTGCAAGAAAAAATTGATAATACACTCTTGGCTAACGCGACTACAAACAAAGATGAACCTATCAATTTAGAAGATGCGTTATTTTTTGGAATAGAGCAAAGTAAACCTGTTTTTTTACCGGGATTATTTTTAATCGTTGAATATGGTATTACTTTATTTGGATATGATACTAATATGGATAACCTACAAAATCTCAGATTAACTAGTGGTGCTGTATTACAACAAATTATCGATGCTATAAAAGCAAATAACCCTGTTCCTTCTCAACCTAATGAATCTGTTCCAACACCCACACCAACCGAAATAATAATTTAAAATGAATATTTTATTTAGCTATAACACAATCTACGAATATTATACAAACAAGATCAAAGAAAAGGAAAAGCTTGTAGATTTGAAACTGGGTAGTAATCTTTATAATTTGATACATAGAGAAGTACGTTTAAACAAGTATATGGTCTCAGATTTGGATGAGGAAATTCGTGTTCGTGGATCAGTATTAATTTAAAGATTTAAAGAAAAAATTTATAATGAAAAAGATTATAATCAGGTCTTAAAATATATTGATGCATTAAAAAATGTTGATAATTTATTTATCAAAGATGAAGAAAACTACATTAACGAACTTGAAGAGTTAAAACTAAAAGTTAAAATTAAAATTAACGAACAGATCGATTTAAAAAATAATCAATCAATTATCATGTTTAAAAAAAGAAATAATAATATTCGATTTAAACTGATTTATTTTCTGTCTTTTGTAAATAATAATAAAATCATTAACACAATCATGAAAAGATATTTAAAAATTGTAGACAATAAAGATAATATTCACGAAATTAAATCTAGAATAGTAAATAGATTAAAACACTACAAAGAATTTCATAATAAACCTTGGAATTTACTTATAAATAATGAATTTCATAAAAAGAGAAACAAAGAATTTTACTTAGAAATTAAAATTTACAATAAGAAAATATTTTTAGAATTAGTCGATTTATTATTAAATGTGTTTAGAGATGATGATTTAACCTTTTTCAACCTGATTCATTATAAAATTGGTGAAATCTTTAATAAAATAGAAATTTAAAAAAAAAATGAATAAAATTTTTTTCATCATATTTTTATTTTTTCTTAAAAGCACCTTTTCACAATATTTCCAATGTTTTTATTATGATGATGATGTTTACGAATGTAATCCACCAATCAATCCGTTAAATCCTGATACAAAATTACCTTTTTCGTATTCACAGAAAGAAATGATGATTATATGAATTCTTTAAAACCACCAGATAATGGTTGGGAATATTTTTACCTGTTTGTGAAAGATCTGTTGAAAAACTTGAAAGATCCTTCTCCCTCTCCTTCAAATAAACAAGAAAACAAAATTTATTTTTACGATGACGAAGGAAATAAAATCACGTTTGATTTGAAATTAACCCTAAGCTTAATTAAATCATCTTACCCTTACTGTATTAAATATTTCACACATGATAATGGTGTTGAATACTGTTTGGTTAACGAGTTATAGGAATGTGATTATTATGGACATCTGAACGATAGACGTTTATTTAACAGGTTTTTTAATGTGGTGTGGGATACCATGTTTAAATATAAACAAATAGATTATGATAAATATTATAAAACCATTGAAGATTATGTGGAAAAGGGTAGACAGAAAATTTACGAGAAAAAAAAGAAAAACCTATCAAAACTGAATTTTCAGGATTTTTTTAAATTATTTCAAGAGATCAAAAATGAAGATATTTTGGATTTTTGTGAAGGTGGAAGAATTGAATTTGAAATACTTAAAAATACCGAAATCACACAAAATAAAACTGATGTTTTAATAGAAATGTGTGAAAAATCGTGTGATAAATTAAAAGCTAACATTAAAGATAAAGAAAAATTTATTACTGATCTGTTAAAAACCAAAGATACTTACAAATCTTTCATGTATAAAGGATTTCTGTATAACATGCTTAGAAATAAAGAAGTGATTTCTGAATTAGGAGATGAAAAGATACATAATTTCGAAATGCAACGTTTAGAAAAGGTGGATAATTTAAATCCAAATATATTACAGTGGTTTAATTATCTATTGAATAAGCCTAGTAAATTAGATATCATTAACATGTTTTGGATCGTGAATCAAACATCAAACATGAACCTCGATATAAACAGCCCTTTATTATTAAAAACCACAAGAAGATACAAAGATAAATTACATGAATGTTATTGGAAATATACCGAATGTATAATATCAATTCTTGAAAATATCGAATCGGAAACAGATTGTGAATTATTTACGAATAATGGGTTATACCATACATTATTCAAAGATAAGAATTTTCAGCAAAAAGTCGATCCTCTATTAGAAGCAAAACACGAAGCTCTCGATGTTTTTATCAAACGAAAAGAAGTGTTGGAAGATTTTTGTCATGTGAGGTTCTTGATAGATGATATGGAAAACACACATGAATTTGAAGAATTCTTACCAAATGTGATTATAGACCGTATTTTTGGAAAGATAATTATGGAATTAACGAAGGTGATGAAGAACTTGTTAAAAAACACTGGGTTGAGAAAATGAAAAAGTTTAAAAAAGATTTAAATAATAAAAACATCAATTGGTTAGAATATATCAAGAAAGAATTGTTAAAACTCATAGAAAGTGATTCTAAAATGAAATCGTTCCATGAAAAATATAACGAAAAAATCAAACAACATATTGAACATAATAAAAAAGATAAGGATCCTTTAGCTTACCTTATCTCAATCTTGAATTTACATCCAGATATTAAAAGAAAATCATTAGAAATACTAGATAAGATTATTAAGGTTGAAGAAGTTACAAAAGAGGAAATTGAAAAAATTGGAACGATTAAAACAAATATTTCATTCACGCCACCTATCATTAAACTTCAGATGATTCCAAAAAGGATTTGAATAAAACTGAGAATAATCTACAAAAGGATATTGAATCAATAAAAAAGGAAATAAAAAATCTCGAAAAAGAAAAATCAAAAACTAAAAGCATTTCTGAAACTATTGATCTAATCGAAAAATTAGCAAAAGATCGATTACTTGCAGATGATAAAGAACAAACCCTAAAAGACATAAAATGGTTAAAGAAACAATTATCCCTAGTCACCAAGGATAAAGAAAATGAGATAATTAAAAAATTTGTGTTGGAAGGTCGTGGTAAAGAACGTGTTGATTATCTCAAAGAATTGCTTGAAGAACATTACAGCAACGAAATAGTTGAAAATCTATTAAACGATTTCAAAAAAAAATCAAACTATTCCCGCATTAAATCATGAAAGTTCTTTACATTACAAAACCATCAATGAATTAAAGAAGGAAGCTGAGAAAAAAGAAATCAACGATGATGAAAAAGAACAAGTTAAAACATTAACATGGGAAAATAAACAACATAAAAATCGAGAAAAGCATATTAGAAGGTAAACCTATTGAACCGGATGAACTTAAACCTCTGGAATTTGAAGGTTTAACTGACAAAGAACAAAAAAGATTACAAGAAATCGATCAAATAATCAAGACATCGAAATCGGCAAGAGAATTGTATGATAAGGAAAAACTTGATTTGGAAATTGATATGATTTGTAACAAATACCCAGAAATTAGAAAAGATTATGATAAGCATCGAAGAGAAAGAAGAGATTATGTTAAGATATACGATCAGATATTAAAAGAAATAAATGATAAAAATGTAAAGATTGAAGATTTGAAACATGATGAGGGTGCTATTTCGAAAAAGATTATCAATCAATTAAAAGATAAACTTTTGGCAAAAGATCTGTTCGATGAATTGCACGAAAAATGTAATGAGAAATACACAGAATTAATCGCAAATAACGCAGAATAATTAGCAGAAGAATTAAAAAGACAAATCAATGAAGAGAAAAGCTCAAAAAATCTTGAGAATATCAAGAAAAATGTTGATAAATTAAAAGAAACTAATGCTGAACTAGGTGAGAATGTCAAATCATTACTAGAACAAAGATTGACACGAATCAAAGTATATGAAAAATATTAGAAGATATTAACAAAGAATTGGATGTTGAAAAATTAACTGATAAGAAAGAAATCGATGAAGAAATTCAAAAATTAAAACAAGACGATGCTGAATATCCAAACAATCTTATTACCGAACTGACAAAACAACGAAATATCAAGAAAGAAAAAGTCATTAAACCAAATAAATACAATGAATACGAAGAAATCATCAATACTCCATTTGACTATCCGCAAACTTTAATAGATGTGTTAGATTTGGATAAGATTAAACAACTTAATAATGATAAATTGTTGGATAATAAACAAAAAATTAATTTGGAAAATTCATTCAGAAAAAAACTTAATGAATTAAACACAAAGGTTGTTCAAGAAGAAAAAGAAAAATATAACAAGATTGAAAAAATGATCAATGAATGTGAAGATCCTGTTCTGCTTAATTCGGAAATGTTTAATGAAATTTACAGGTTGATTGAAAGCATCGATGAAAAGATTATTGGGCATGGAAGTAAAGATAAATTAAACTATATAAGAGAAACCAAAAGAAAAGAATTGGTAAAAAAACTCGATCAAGAATTGTGACAATGTCTATAGTATTGCAAAAACAAGCATGAGAAACCTTTTTTATTGAAAATAATATCTCAGATGAAAATTTAAAGACTGCGTGGAAATACAAATTAGGGTTGTCAGTTGATAAAGCAAAAGCATGTGTAAAAAATGGTTGGATCATCAACGATGAGATAAAAATTATTAACAAAAAACTCAATTATAGAAAATTTCCAAATATAGATGTTGTAAAGATAAATAAAGAAATTTTTGATAAAGCATGTGATATATGTGATGAAATTTTAGATCCTAATAAAAAAATATTTATCTCTTTACCTGAAAACTTTAAAAAGGAAGATATTGAAAAATTAGATAATGATTTACTACCGGCCGGATTAA